GGGCCAGGCCAACTGGTCGGGTACCTTTGCTTTCAAGGTAAAAATTGTTCATGCTTTGGTTTTGTACTGTTTTTCCCATGAGACAGATCATTAATCCCCAACTTCAGGCATAATTCAATTCAATATTGGTAAACAGTGAAGTGAATAAGCATGGAATCTTAGATACATGATGTATATTTGATATTTCCTTCAAATACACAAGATCGTGAGAGATGAAACTGCTTCGAGATCAATGCCATAGCTACCAACCTTGTTCAAGTAATGCTTCAGTCATCCTCTGGGTCAAAATCCTTAACCTTAATGTCTGCATCTTCTCCATACTGAATACAGTTGTCAATTTGTGACAAGATGTACTGTATACTGCAGATAAAGAGAATTACATTTTCAGTTCAGTAATTATGCAAGATTACACATTTCGATTATAAGAACAAGAAGCTATCGTAGATTGAAAATTGTTATATTTCCTTCTTACTTGTTTCCTTTTACAGTAAAACTGGTATTTTGGTAGGGAAATTCAAAAAGAAGAAAATAAGCTAATTTCATACTCATTATACTATTGAATCATATCCAACATGATGTACCAAATATGCACCTAAGTAGAATATTTCTTTGTATACGAAATGAATGTTAAATCTTTACAAGACAGATACAATAGGTATTCATAGGCCAGATTATGGTAGGTAGGTAAAACTTTTTTATTTTGGTAATATGCAACTATAAAAGCGCCTGTTTGGTAAGAGTTTTTTGAGAATAGATTTTGTGAAAATTGATTTATTTGGAGAATGTATTGTTAAAAAGGTTAAAAAGTAGGGAATAATTTAGGTTTACGTACAAAATTATTTTATGGGGAGAATGTGTGGTTGAAAATTAGTTTAGAGAAAAATGAATTATAGAAAATGGGGATGAAACAAAGCCTAATTAGCGCTTTGAAATTTAGAGGACAAAATAGTTCTAAAAATTCTCTGTGCTTCTCAGTGTTTCCTTCTCAATTACTTTTACTATAGTTTCTAAGCTTTAAAAAAAAAAAAAAAAGGGTACATTAAATAGCAAAACTAAAATGTCTCAAAGTGCAGAAACAGATGGCAATGTACCTGCTGTTTTTTCTCAGGTCGAGAGGCAAGAAGCTCACCATACTAAACTGATCCACCTGAAAAAAAAAAAAAAAAAAAAAGGAATCAAGCAATCTACTTGATGAAATTTGTGCACGTAATTCACAAGAAGAGATCAACGTAAAAATTGACAGATGCTCAAACATACCAATTCAATCAAAGATTTATTGAGCTTTTCAAATTGTGGAGCCATGTGCTGATTCAACTCAGCAAGTAATGTTTGAGGTTCTGGATTCAAGTATCTAACAGGCACATAAAAAGGAAGATTAACAGGACATAATGCTAACATATGAGTGGAAAGTGCGTGCAACTTAGAGCATATCCGGCTGAAGCTTAGAAGTAAATATTACTTTTTAAATTTTTGTTTCGAAGCATGTTTGGACAAGTTACTTTCTTGACTATTATGTAAAAAAGGTTACTTATCTTGAAATAACTATTAGTTCACAGCATCAAAATACGTAGTTTGCTAATTCCCAACTTTGACCCATAAAAAATTATTTAATTTAAAACTCACGTATTTACTTAATTAAAGATAGACAGAACAATTGTCACTGTTACAGATATTTTATATTACTTAATTTAACTAATTTTAGTTTAAAAAATTTAAGGGATCCCAAACCCTTTTCACAAAAACCGAAAGATTTTTGTCATTGAAATAGAATGATACATACATATAAGTTAAATATTTCCTCATTTTATATGTAATTTGTTTAGCATAAAAGTCGAGTACATAGTACATACAGAACAGAACATTTTAAGCTTAGCCAAACATGTTATCAAGGAAAAAAGTCAGAAAAGTCAGCATTATATAAAAGACTTACTTCTCAACATCCCTCCTGTTTGTCACAAGGTCCATTTTGGAGAGAATATTAACATGAGGCAGCTCGAGTTGAAACATAGCAGAAAGTGAAGCCATACAACCGCTTATAAATTTGGTCACATCTGTCATAAACTGATACACAGACATAACATAAAACTTCTGTCGACATAAGGGTACTGTTGACAAGGCATGACAATAGACGCAGTGATAACATTTATGCACCTGAGAATCAAGTAAGTAAACAACACAAACATTGAAATTTTTGCGCTTTAAATGCTCCACAAAGTTCTTAAGCACGGGAACATGAGAGAAGAGCTCTATCTGGCCTGTAATATAGTAAGAGATCAAAGAAATTAAATATTGACACACACTCACACACACACACATGGAAAGCGCTTTCAGTTAGATGAATTAGTGGAAGTATATGTTTTTCGTGTTAACAAGGGCTACAGAAGCAGCTATATGTATTTACCATTATTGATAATTGAATTTTTCCAGTTCAATATATTTATTTTGAGAGGCCAATACAATTGAGGCAAGGAGAGGACCAGTAGGTTGAATAAACTACTATCAAAGCAATGACCCAATAGCTTTGAATAAACTTAAGCAAGGCAAAGGAAAATGGCATCTTTGTCAAAGAGGAAGACAGTTAAAGTCCATGAATTGGGTGGCCGCACATGAAATGTCATTAGCTGATTGTTGTGCACTGTCATAGGGGCTCTTGGCACAGGGTTTAAGAACAAGCTACTGATCTTTGACAAGCAGTGATTCTTTTTAGTAAAATGAATAAATATGTGAAATAAAACAAAACGACAGCTTTATAACACCTAGGCTAAAAAAATGCAGTAGAGGCACTATTGATGAGGCTGACTCTTTCACACACACACTAAAGATGGGATGTGAGAGTATTGATAATTTTGGAAATCGAACAGAATATGGATTGTCCCCAAAATTGATGATTTGATTAATTAATGACAGGAAAATGTTTAGAATAATTATTTGAAGGAGAGAGGTACTGACAACTCACAGAAAAAATGATAATTTTTTTCAAAGAAATCACATGTTGACAACAAAAGTTTAATGACAAGGATTTAATAAATGATAACCTTAACAAGGAAAAGTAAGACAGCAGATGGTTGAACCCCTAACGGTATTTATCTCAATTTTCTCTAGACGCCATCAAGTTTCATCCTACTCAAAATGAGAATAATTAAGTGCATAGAAGGAAAAAACTAAGTAAAATCGTGATAGGTTAAAAAAATAAGCTCCTGTTTGATGGCCATTATTGAGAAAAAATAATGTTCTGTATAGTGATTTTTTTTAGAGAATGTGTGATTAAAACGTAGAGAAAGGTTTTGAGTTAAAGTGAAAAATATTTTATTATCTGAACGTGCAGTAGAAAATGAGTATAAAAATGAAAGTTTTGTTTTAAAGGGAGACAAATAGGGGCTAAACATGCATGTCAGATAGATCTTTTGATTTTGGAATTTAAAATTTCGTTGCCACATATTTTTGTCCATGAAAAAGTAGCGAGTACCAAGTCCTTAGCTAAAGCCTAATAGTCAGACCATGTACACTATGGTTCAATTTAAATGGTACATCATAAGAGAGATTTAAAAAAGGAACTGCAAAGCCTCATTTATCCAGAGTATTATAGTAAGAATATCAGCATTTCGGCCAAATTCCTAGAATAAAGTAAACAAAAATTAAAGAATATTTGTAACCATATAGAGAAAAAATTTCAGAGGAAATAGATTCTGAATATGACTGAGTGTAGGTGCCAGTGCATGACAAAAGCCACGCCCAAAAGTATCCATTTATATCAAAATCAACATATATCAGTTCATTCACGAACTACTTCTTGCATCTGTTTTCCCTCCCTTTTTACCTTATATTTCTTTCAAAGATCATAGTTAGAGGGGTCAGGGATCAATTCTCTAACCTAATTCTGTTACTTATTAAACAAGAGTAACAAACAACGAGGGCTCCACGTGCTATTGTGCTTGAATATCTTGTCTCACTCAACAACTCTGGAAATGAGTCTGAATAACTGTTCCATGCAATTTCGGTCATTGGGATTTAAGAGTATCAATCTAAATTGTCCTTGTACCATGAAACGAATTTCTATCACCAATATTTTCAACATTAAAAAAGAAAAGATGAAACAGTACAAGGATGTAGATAAACGTGTGTACCTGGACAGTCAAATACTATATAATCATCATCCAAGTAATTATCCAACTCCTCTGTCAGCCAATCATCCAAATTTTCTTCAAGATGCCTGGGTTAAGATTTAAGGCTCTACTAGTCCATTTGAATACTATTTATAAATTGGTTAATAAATTCAGGCAAAGTCAAACATTAAACATTAATTTTTTTCCATACATTCATTACTAATACTCATTATTATTCACATATTTCATGGAATCCACTACCATTCCTGTTTAGAAATTGATTTACAAATTTGTCAAACGGAGGCTACATAGTTGGATCCATAATAATGAGAAAGAAACCAAGATTCTCCACTTTCTTGGAATGCAGTACTCAAGCTTCACAGTTACAAAAATGGCCAGATAGCTCGAATGCAAAATTATCAGAAAAATCACAACAACAAAGTTGGAAAAAAAAACTTGGAAAACAAGAACACATGATGCAGAGGATACTCCATGCAGTAAATAAGGCCACCATTTGGACCAAGTCCAAGTTCCTCCATAACATCATCCAAAGAAATGAGTTCTCTAATATCTGCAAATGATAGCCTCTTTATCAACAACATAGTTCAACAAGCATTACAAAGAATTAATTATATATACAGAGGACCATACCCACCCATGGCTACTGGATAGTCAAAATTCTCTGCAGCAGGATCTAAGTTTACAATATGAATTGTTCGGCACAAGGTTTCACAATGTTGGTACAAGCCAGAGCAGTAAGTAGACTGAACACACAAATGATTAGGATACTTAAAAAAGATTTAGCCATCTCAATACAATAATAATGTGAAATCAGATTTAGATCTCTTCTGAAACGATCTCTCATGCAACAATATTGACTGGAAATCATATTGACAAGAAAATGTACTGGTAGACACATTAAAGCAACACAATTTCATGAACTCACCTTTCCACTGCCCGCAGGGCCAATAACTAGCTGTGCATAGCCCATGATGGTGTTCCTTTTTCCTTCCTTCAATATGTTACTCAAGTTGCTTGTCAAATCAACTGAAAATGGAGATTCGAAGAAAATTGAAGACCCGGAAAACTCCGAGAACAGCAACCAAAATATAAGTAGCACCCCAAACAGCCGCCGCAAAAGACAAGCTTAGTACATCAGAGCATCCCATAAAGCATTATGACAACAAAAGAAACAATGCTATACCACCTGAATTACCAATTCATCTGAAAATATAATTAAAAAAATGAAAAGAAAAACCACAACTGATTCTAATCTTTACCAGAAACCAAAAGGTGATGGGTCATAACAAGCCACAAAACAATCTCTATCCTCGGATAAAAGGAGAAGAGAGAGATTCGTTATGAATATTTCTCACCATGTATATCTAATATAATCACCTGTTGTTGGAGAAAGGATATTTTATTTCCTTACTGTTACTACATTACTAGGGAAATAAAACACCTGTATATAACTACATCTAGTTTTCCATTGAAATGCATCCAATAGTCTCAGCCATTGGCCTATTAATTAAATTAATATAAGCAGATATACTAGCTTAAGCTCTGACCCCTTACCTTTTCTTTACTTCGCTAAAGTATTGAAACAAGAGCAGAAATCCCATATCATGTTTTAAGAGGAAGAGGATGGCCAGAATTTGGTTGCTAACAACTTAATTTCTGTCAAAAGATTAGATTTCAATGCGCTTAATAGACATGGTGCCAAATCAAATGGAGCTGACAAAAACGACTCATGTGGACAAGTTTATTTATTTATGTAAGGCTTAGTTTGTTGCATTGTGCCTATATTGTTTATATGCCAAAATTGACAGATGCAATTCCAAATCAGTTTCTCGTCATCGTCTTCTCACGTTAATTTTTTTGGTATGGAACAAAAGAACAGTAAACGTAGCTAGAAATTGTTAATCACTTAATAAAAATACAGTAAAATCCTTGAACCCCAGGAGACAAATGGTAAAATTGAAAATAATAAATTAATAATATTATAGAAAATATCAACTTAAGGGCATGGTTTCATAATTTCATTGTCTCTTTCTTTGGGTGTAAGCATTTGTAAAGAGTAATTTTTTAGCCTCCTACTCATTACAGAATCCCAAACCCCCGGCAAAACCTTGATTAGCTGCATTGATATTGCTTGCAGAATGGAACGGCACTAATTAAATTCTCTGAAAACTCATGTAATGCGTTAATAAATAGCAGAATATACAGATTGCCCTGCATAAATATATGCTTAAATGTGAATTGAAAGATGAAGAAAAAGCATAAAAACCTGGGCCTGTTGCCGATCCTTTGCTGAAGACAGAAGTTCCGAACTTCAATCGCTTCCCACGGCTAATAGTGGCAAACCTATCGGTGATTCTAGTTCTATCGCGCACCCCAACTCTCCTCCCCAGTTTTTATCAGCTGAGGATCACTCGGTCGTGTTTGGCAAAGCTTAAAAAAGTCTATATAAATTAGGGGCGGGCGCGGGTCGGTGAACCGAACCGAACCGAACCAAAATTTTCGAGTATCTAATAAATAAAATCGTCGGGTCCAAATATAATTATGGAACCGTTCGGGTTCGGTTCGGTTTAGTTCGGTTCTGTACTATAATTAAATTTTTTAACATTTATAACAACATTAAATAAATACAACTAATGATACATTCAATGATTTTGAAATGTCAGAGACTAGTAGATTATCTTATTCAAATGATCGCTACGGTCAAAACTTCGATCGGGAGAGGTCACAGTTTCAACCGAAGGTCACAGTGTCAGCCGAAGATTGTATAGGTTTTGGAATGTTAGCGAGACTGCGAGAGTGAGTGCGAGAGTCGAGACAACGTTATGAATTTTAGTGTAGATGTTTATGGTTATTTAGAGGATTAGATCTTGTTGGGCTAAGAAATGAAACAATAAAATGGATAATTGGGCTAAAAATTAGAAATGAAACAAATTATTGGGCTAAAATTTTGGATTTAGAAATTGTTAATTTATTAATTTGTTTAGAAAAAATTAAAATTAAAATAATTTGATTTACTCAATATAAAAAAAATTTAGAAAGATTCGGTTCTTATTCGATTTTTCGGTTTTTAATCTAGAATCGAGAACCGAACCGTAGCTGTCGGTTTTCAATTCAAATACCCGTTCGGGTGTTTAATTTGACAAGAACCGTCGAATTCGGTTCGAGTTCGATTCGGGATATTTGCCCAACCCTAATATAAATAACAATTTAGAAATAAGCAGAGGGTTAATTTCAATTGTGGTCACCGAATTTTCATTAAAATCTCAATTGAAATGTTATCTTTAATTGTTCAAATATCAAATTATGAATTTCAAGTTACTTTCAATTTTAGTCAATAGGTTACCTCGCGTTAGTAAAATTATTGTTCCATTCACAAGTCGACATTGATTTATAGCAGTCTAGTGATGGCAATTTACCCCGTCCTGCCCTGTCCCGGTGTCGCCTCGCTCCGAATGGGGCAAAAAAACTCGTCCCATCGCAGGGCACAGGGTGGGGCGGGGCATAGATGGTCACCTCGTCGCGGGGCGGTAATTTTTTTTTTTTTTTTAATACTTGGAAATATGAAGATAGAAAATTTCTAATTATTTGTTTATCCAACCCTTAATTTCTCATAACTTTGTTACTAATTAGCTAATTATTTGTTAATTAATTGTTTACATACTTAATTATAACTATTATAACATATTTAGAATTCATCTATGCAACATATTTCAAAATCGTTTTTATTTAAACTTATTTTCTACCACAATTTTTTTAATAACATAATTTACATGTAGACCTATAATTTTTTCATACTTTTTATCCACACATTCTCTAAAAATCATTTTACACTATAAATAATTTTATTCCAAAACAAAAAATTAAATTTACATAAAGTAAGAATATTCTTTATTAAAAGTTCAACTTGAATGTTATCCGTATTTTATTGAACTTGGAATAAAAAAAAAATTAAACGGGACAAGAAAACTGCCCCGCCCCGTCAAAGGCAGGGCGGGGTATGGGGTGGGAGAGGCCCCCGGAACTCGCCCCGTTGCCATCACTATAGCAATCCATCGATGTACAGCTATATGCATAGGGTTTAGTTTCCATTTGTTGTTGAGCTTTCATTGAAATTTCAATTGTGTTAATCATTATTCACTTATCACAATATATGAGTCACTTTGTCACCTCGTGTTACTAAAATTAACAGTGGATTAATTCGTAGAATTTAAAACTTAAAACACAGTAAATCCTTAACATGGCTAAATGTTACCCCTTTCAGTGCCAAATAAGAAGAAAAACATAGCAAATCTTGTTACGTCTACAATTTTATAACATAATCTTTCCATCTCGTTCTTATTCCTTGTTTTGGTTCCATTATAATTAAATGTTGGGAAAAAAAATGTATTTTAGAATAATGATTTTTTGAAGAATGTGGGACTAAAAAAGAAGAATTTTTTTTGAATTAGAGTGTAATATTATTTTACGGGAGAATGCGCGATTAAAAAATAAAGAAAGAAAAAAAGCAATTTGAAAAAAAAAATGGAACCCAAACAAGGGTTTATTCAATGAACTTTAACAAAAAGAAAATTTGAAGTCTGATGATTTGATCTGAGTTATGGCGCACTAAATATTAATTGAGATTCTCATGAAAGTTCAATGACAAGAATTGATATTAATTATTTATGGATGCAACGATACATTAAAAATCATTTACGTTTTAGAGTTACTAACAAGAAATAACAAAATGACTACCATTAAAAGTCTATTAATTTGACTATGATAAATTAAAGACGTGTGATCAATTGAAAATTTCATAAAAGATCCAGGACCAAATTTAAAATTAACATTTACACGGAATGTCCGTGATTACTATTATTTTTCTAGATCATTTGGGAAAATTTGCCTTTCCAGTTTAAAAAAAAAAAAAAAAAAAAAAAAAAAAAAAAAAAAAAAAAAAAAAAAGAAAAAAAAAAAAAAAAAT